TGAGCGAGTCATACGATGGATCACAGGAGTTGGAAGTGCCCGATGAATACTGCGAGGTGTTGTTTAATCCTGCTGCGAATTCTGCTTGGCAGTAAAGATTGGAAGACGAATGTTTGTGGTTCTACTTGTTTCATGTTCAATGTCTATTAGTTCATTGAAATGCTCTTGAATCGTTCCTATTTTTTTCAGGAATCAAACCAAACCAATCACAAAAATTGCAAGTGCCCCATTTGAACAATTGAAACACTGGATATGAAACAAGTGGAATCATGAGCAGTCTCCATTAAACCATAACCATCAAGCAGAAGTGGCGGCGGATTGGAGAACACCTTGCAGTATTGATCGGGCACTTGTGATTTCCGTGACCCGTCGCGTGAATCGCGCAAATCGCGCAAATCGCGAAATCGCGAAAATCGCGAAGGAATCGCGGACTCTGACACCAGCCTTAGGTCCACCGCTGATCATCAGTGGACCCGAGGTTCCTGCAGTAAAAAATGTTTCGCGCTGCGAAACGCGAAAAAGTCGCTTCCTGTCCTAGTGGAACCAGACCTGGATTACTTGGTGATCTGATTACAAAATGACATTCATTCTTTGCGCTGGCGCTATTTGGTGCCTGTTTTCCGCTCGTCTGCGCCCTCTCACTGATTATATTGGCGATCAGGACTAAGCCTTTGTAGGAGAGGAAGACTAGATGAGCAAGCACTCACCCTATGATGAGCTCACACGCTTTAACTTTAGCTGCACTGCGCCTAGTTTACCCACCCCGGAGTCCCCCTTATGTCTTAAGCTTACAATTACTCTCCAACCCTATGTTCAGGTGAGAAAGCCAAATAGTACGGGAAAATGCAATAAACAAGTGCGTTGCTTGTCGTGTTCATAATCAGTGCACCAAACAACCCTATGCAGAAGTTTACACAAATTTGGTGAAAACAAGTGTCGTGACAAGGTGACGCCAACTGGCGCCAGATGGCGCCACCGCTAAAAATGAATGTCATTTTCGTAATCATCGAATTACCCTCGAAGCAAAGTTGCGACGGAATGAGTGAAGTTGAATTAGTGCCAAAGTTCCTACCTCTTTGTCATAACTGCCTTCCTCATCTTTCTGCTTCGGCTTAGAGCTCTCTGCCATGGTCTGAAAGAAAAGATTCGAAAATGTGAAGCCAGCAAAGTGTAGCAACATAAATCTGTAGATAAGATTTTGGGAGATGACCGACCAAGTTGCGAGAAAGATGCACGGCGAATGAAAGAAAAGACACACATAACCCATCAAATCTTATCAAGCCGTTTGTTTGCGTAGAGGAGAGAGTAGCGTCGAAAAAGCCAAAAAGGTGGAAGGACCGAAAACTAGAGCGCACATTTCATTCACAACGAAAACAACAGTAGAAGCGCAGTCTCATTTGATGACATTGGTTGTCGTGAGGTTGCACGTATTGTCTGAGAATGCGGCCACAACAGGAAGACGGCTTGTGCTACTCTGTGGCACGCTTCTAATAGGGTGCGTTCATAGTTCGCGACTTGGGAGATTAGGATAGTAGGCGACAGGATATTAGGATAGTAGTAGAGTAGGAGATTGCGCTGAAAAGGTTAGGATACGTGTCGCTTGGATTCACTGGATAGAAGTATTAGGTCGGCCGGGAATTTCTGGGCCACTTTTTATTTAACGTCATGAAAATCTCCAAAAAATCTCGGAGGGCGCGTTCATAACCTGCCGTCCGACCCCAACGATCGTAAGATCGCAGAGCATTAGATGCGTATCGATCGTCTGGTATCCGACACATGCGGTTGCTGCGATCGGACGACCGTCTATGAATGCACCCAGTGGCTTGAAACATGGCTTGCGTCGTAGCAACCAATTTGGCCGGTCTGAAAAGATAGGCAGCTCATTGGCACGTTGGCTTCCGTGGCTGAGACTTCAATTTTTCTGGAAGCTATTTCAGTAACTCAATTTTTATGACTACCTATTGGGTCTTCCGATGGTCAGGCTGACAAAGGTTCTACCAAAAGATGGGCATGGGCAAGCTCACTCAAACCATGGTGCACCGCTGTTACATTCTTTCGGATTTGGCTTTTCCTACCAGAAGAAGATCCCCACATTGGACACCCCATGACTCTTAGCATCAAGGCCCTACGTGAAGCTGATGAGAAGGAATCAGAACAGATTGACCATCGCTTGGCAGAACCTTTCCGTTGTGGCAAGTTGACTTACCGGGAAATCTCCACATGACCTGAGCACTTTTACAAAATTTGTTTGAATTCCGCATGCGATGAGCCCGGCCCAACCATAAACAGGATCTGACTTCATGTTTCTTTCGGCTTGCCATCATTACTTCGATTGACCATCCAGTACCGGTGATGAAAGAGGGATAGTGCACGCTAAACAATCCTACGAGCGCCAGTAGTGAGAAAAAGGAAAGACTCGGGTGTGACGCGCAACCGCGCCCTAATGCCCGACGTGGTGCACAAAATGGGACGCGCAACCGCGTCATGCTGTCGTCAATGCGTCAAAGGGCGGGTAGCTATCTGAAATGATGTTTCACTATTTCATTGAAAAATTAAACAAGAAGTGAGGAAAAAAGCAACAAGCATCATGTGAAGCGCTAGAATTTTTCTTGTGAGGCCGTGAAATGAGGGAGAGACACAGCGCTGCTAGGAGAAGGAAAAAGCGAGGTAGCACGTTGTACGCAAGAGGGTGCAGACGCTACGTATGCTGCGATTGACAAGCGTGGTAGCCGTGGTACCTGTGAAGCAAAGACATTAGCTACCCTGTCGCCAGTTTGAAGCGGAGACAGTACCACTACCCTGTGATTAGGGATCCTGCTACTCCAGTTAAGGAGACCAATTAACCGACCCCGGAGAGATAGAATATAGGAGAGTAATATCTTCATAACTCATGTATACTTGTGTTGAGAAAGGAGTATATTATAGTAATTCTAGACTAGATGACTTATATCTAGTCTCAGTTTTTTGCATATATCTTCGAGACGTCAGCAGTGAATATTTGTGGTAGTGGATATAAAAAATTCCTATCTCCTATCAGCAAGTGGAAGCGAACACTGAACATAACATTTGAATGCAAAATGATTGGAATCGTGGAGAACAGTTTTCCCATTTATAGCGCAATAGTTAAGCTTTTGCTCACAGCTTACGTAAAGAACTGCTATTATCTTCCAACGCAGAAGCTGTAAAATCCCACACAAGGTTGGCGAATAAGAGCGCCAAGTCATCACATGCTCCTTCCCACCCCTGCTGGTCCCCCTAGTACTAGGCTGTGAGTCTAGGGGGATGTGTAAGCAGTTTTCATTACCCTCAAAGTTCACCCTCTTCTCCAAGGCTCAGTCAGCGTGAGCATGCCCCTTTTGAGTACACTAGCGCCTCAAGAAATTGATTCGCAACGGTAACGCAAACGCTCCTGTAAGCGGATTATCTCGAATGGAACTGAATTACATTTTACGGCATCTTTTACAGAAAGAATGAACTTATACTCGATATCGGTGAGTTGGGGTGGGCGTGTCAGCGGAAGTGACGTGCACTTGATAGGAACTATGTGGATAAGCTGCTTCCAACATACATCATTGGATATCAGCAAAGCATGCTGGCAACAGCTTATCCACGCACTTCTATCAAGGTGTCAGCGTCACTTCCCGCTGACAACCGCCCACCCCCAACGTTGCGGATATCGACTGGTAATCCCGTGGCCTATCATCTACAAGTATGCGCTCTCACTTTCAGCACAAGTCATCCTCACAAGGATACCTCCGTATCAGATTTCTATGTCTATGGAAATATCTACAATTGCGAATAAATCAACTACCAACTCGAAAACAAGGTGGCCGTGAGACGCAACTACTAAGTAGTTCATGATGAAAAACTACCTCACGACTCTCTCTTCCCTCAGGTGCCAAGTAAACTTCGTCCCCTCGAAGTCTCCTCACTGCACTGGTACAAGGCATAATGGCATCAATGATTGTTTTAGTGCGGATCATTTATAAATACACTAGCACATTACCCTATGTTTGCATGTTAAGAAGTAAATGACATGAGGAATTAGAGTGGTTTCCAGGCGCGCAATGGTTTTCCAACGATATGTAGAGCATCTCTCGGTACCCGTCACCTATCTGAAAGGAGAAATGCATGGCTCGACTCAGTACAATATTCGGAGCTGTGCTAGTTATGAATTGATTAGTCTTCCCATTTCCTTTCATCACGAGCCCCGCCTGTGATCATCAGTTACAAATGTCAACGCCAGTAGAACTAGGCGTGGGCGTACTGTAATCGCTTGCGGTACGCAATTGCACCGGCGCAGGGTGGGATATATACGTAACATGACCCACCGGAGTCATTGGGAAGGTGTTTTGTCCTAGTGACGACTTGCTTAAGCACACCAAAAGATATTTCCAGTATTAACTAATTAGGATAACTCTTGTGGTCATAGTGATGTCTGATCATTCCTTTATTCAAATCGCTTCCTTTCCAACCCGTTCTGATGAATGACACGCTTGCGGTTGCAGGATCTGATGATGCCAAGAAGGCTGCGAATCTGCCTGTTTTGAACTTTCTACCAAGATGCTGTTCCTCCACTAAGTTCTCAAAGCATGTACATCATTCTAGAGTAGATACTCGCTGCCCTTTCCCTACGATTCTTTTGCAGGACGCGTTGCCTTCCTATGCCACATTGATCACTACGAACCAAACCAACACCCACTTTCCATTTGAATTTTAATTCCAGACAGGTGTAAGATATTATTTGCATTAGGCTAACTACAACACTTGTGAAACTAATGATGACAGCAAATAAGTGGCAGCAGCACCGTTGTGTCCGTTGATGAACCTTTTGATTACGACCCCCTCCCAACTCTCATCGGAGCAAATACGACCCCCTGTCGAGGATTTCCTCGACCGTTATTCACCCTGCTGGAATGTGAGCGCCCTCACAGTCTGAAGACTGAGAAGCTGTGGAAATTCACGAAAATTTACACCTTCTGCTGAGAGAGCGCCGAAATACTCCCCCCTCCCCTCCCCACCCAACTACGTTCGCGCCAAGACTAGTTTAAAGCACAAGGGCTCCGTACGTCGTCGTAATCAATCAAATCTCCCTGACTTCGGTTGAATGGTACCAAATTCCTTGAACGATAAAAACGCTTAGTTGTACATTGTTGGCCTCGCATGACCTCGATTCTGAGGGGAGTGGAATGCGTGGCGCTTCCCAAAAACATTGGTCGGTGTCGAATGTTTTGTGGGTAGGGTGGGGAGGATAGGGGTAGGGTAACCGACGGTACTGCCTGCTGTTGGCCCCGTTTGACAAAAACTCTGAAATGAAAAGTGGGAAAAAGCACTTCTACCCAATCCCCAAAATGACACCGCTTCCCCTATACACTCGACTCCTTATACTTCCAGCTCTGCGACCAACACCCTTTCAAACCCCCAAATATGATGATTCCCATCTGGTGATCACAAACATTATACCCCTGTCTAGACTGCCCAGAGTGGCGATGAACGGTCCCCACGCGCAGGAGACATGGAATACCTGTGGATGGATTTTTGGTTGTGGCAACTTTTCTTCAAAATAACTGTTTTTTTTTGCATTGAAAGGAAGGCCTTCGGCGTAAATGTCATAGAAAAGGAAGTTATAAAATATTTATCCGCAATCACGAACGAAATGTACAGACCATAAGTAAATCCTCACATACAGGACGCAGAAATTAGCTGTGAACAAGAATTGGACAAACTGAAATGTCAAATGTCTTGTGATACCCTGCCTAAGGTCAAAGGCACACCCTGAACCGGTTTCGTCAGAGAAACGCTTCCGTAGATGCCAGTAGATGGGTCCGCAAATGTGAGGTCGGGCCACTTCCACTCCTCGAAATGCAGTCACTAAGAAGTTAACCCTTTGACGACCGCCGTTATGAATGCGTCACTTCACTTCTTTCTAAATTTTTCTATTTTCAATCAATAATCATTAACTCTCCAACAATTTCACTATTAGTAATTAGCGCATTATTCGCGAATTCGATGATGTATTTGTGTAGTTTTGAAACATAAAAATGCCAAAATAAACCCCTAAAAACGTGTCGCCACCGAGCGAAAGTGTGGCCCACCGGCGGGCCACACGGTCGTCAAAGGGTTAAAACTTTGGCGAATGTCAGACTTAGCCAATCGGGGCGTGTCGCAGCAGAGTCAACCCTGCGTTGCGCAGTTCTCAACGGCCACGTTGCGCAGTTTCGCCCGATTAGACACGTTCTCTCGCGCGAACATTCACACTCGCATGCTCGAGCCGTCTGCGTCTCCGCCCATACAGCGTGCGTTGAGGATCTCTCAACGTGCCGTTGCGAACTGCGCAACGCAGGGTTGACTCTGCTCCTAGCCATTCGGTCGCGTCGCGAACCAACCAAAAGCGAATCCCCTCGACAGGATAGTACCGCAACGCGAATCGCGTCGCTAGTAGCGATCGTTCGACTTCGCCGAAAGTCTAAGCAACAGCCTTATGAGCCTGGGATCTTTGTGCGCCCGAAAGATCCCTGCACGCCCACCATTGCGTAATCTGTGTATCGTTTCTCGCCAAGCTCCCTTCTGTAGAAGTCTTTTTCTCCGCTCGGCCCTCATAACCTCTGCCTATCTCTTTGACTTCTCTTTAGCGTAGATTAAGGAGGTCCGTATTTTCGGTGTTCGACGGTTTCCTTTCGTTTTTCCCAGCTGCCGTCCACTTTGCACCTCTACGTTTATTCAATTTTAAATAGTACATCAACTCGTGGGGTGTGCCTTTAAGCATTCCAAATACCTCTTTATATCACCACTCGTAATATCGTGAGAGAATTATCTTACAGTACCAGAGGTACTCTAAGTGTGCTGTCTGGTAGATCAGTGAATGAAAGTTCCCGTCGACGCGGCAAAGGAGAAGGCGACGATGTCATCCGTTCTGCGTTGTATAACGGAGCACCAGGAATCACCAATTTTGGAGCACGAAAAATGAGATTCCGGAATTCGTACGCGTCAGTGAGCAGAAAAAGACACATGAAAAAATATGCTCCCCACTCGCACACGGCTCCCGAGCTCGAGTCGTCCTGAAATCGCATATATTTGTAATTTGACAGTAAACATCTTATTTTTTGATTCATTTATAGGCAGAGATTCTGGGCGATGAATAGGCAGCTCATTGGAAATAAGGGTAGAGGTGGCTAACGGAGCAGGGATGATGAAGAAAAGGTGTGATTCAGTAGGAAAAGAAATGGGACCTCTTCCTTGCCCGCTTCTCATGGATGCGACTCTCATCTTGTGCCCTCTTCAACACTACGCTCTCTCTGCTATCTAATCACTCGCCACGTATAGACCTGCGGCGAGTGATTAGATAGTCAGGTGGGCGTTCCGCCAACTGCGCCAAAGGGAAGCCATGTTAGATCCGGGGCATAATCCTTCGATGCGAATTGTGTGTTGGTCCGCACCCTTAGAGGGGTCGGTCTGTCTCTCCACTGGGTAAATTTCTCCCTCTTCAACTTGGTTCTTATCGTGTCATCCTCCTTTAAGGCTTTCACGCAGCAATATTCAGGTCCTTGCTGAACAACGGCCCTCGGAATCAATAGATGCATACAACTCCGTCATTATGGATGAAACACGTGACTAGGTTAACTTGGAGCCCCCCCCCCCCCCCCTGCGATCTTGATGGCTGATAATGTCGTAGTGTGGTTGAACCTGATTCACCTGACACACTTCTTGTACTCCTCCCACAAAAGCCCGTGTCATGGAACGCCCAGACCAAATTTTCACCTCACACCAACCTCCCGAAAAGTTCCCTTTCCCATGTCTTCCATGAACGGACGGTGGGCCTCCGCTAGCAAGTGCTACTTACCTCTTCAAAATTTCAAGAAAATGATGGGAAGTCGAATGCGATGCGCATCCTATTCGGAATTGTCCAAACTCTCGAAAACACGTTACTCTTCACCGAATCAAGTGCTATAATGAACATTTGGGTAGGTATAGGTACTTACTAGGTACAGTACCATGCTCATTCGTCAATAAAACGGCGGCCCGCTACAGTACTTGAAACTACCGTATCACCCAGGAATGCTGATGAAAATTCAAGATGAATGATGAATTCAACGTCGTGAACTCACAAGTGGTGACGGTGTGGTGCGATCGAAGTTGTGCCCTCGGCTTATGAACACTTCCAGCACTAAAAACTGCTTCTATTACAATATGAAAAGTTATATTAATGTAAACACACAAACAGGATACCCATAGGTACGCTGTTTGACAAAATTAATTTTGGAGATAAGTAAATGTACAAGGTTTTTTTTAAACATATCCGACCATCTGATTGGTTCACGAATTCTATTCGGTTATGGCAGTAAAGGAATAGAGGTCAAAAAAAGAAAAAAAAAGTAAAAGCAAAAAAGCGTCCCTAAATAAAAAAGGAAGGCAAAATCGCGTTAACACCCAGGACTAATCCAATTTTTTTTTCAAGTTGGCATTTTTTCAAAATTTTTACAACCCCCTCCTCTTGCCAAGGGGTCCTGTGCTTGAACAACCAGCCTTACCCGCCGCCCCCTCGGCTGTTTCTATTAGGTTGTCTCAGAAGTTCGTGCGTATTTTGAACTTATTTTTGAGCCTGCACTATTCCAAGCACGTGTGCAACCTATCATCATTATATGTACCACCACTATCAGTGACTTGTTACCAACATCCAACCAAAGATTGGCAACTTAACTCTCAAAGGGCTGGCAGTTATGAGCTGAAAAAGGCAGTGAGGTCGATTTTGAGGTGCTAATGGGAATCGTATTTTTTGTCGTCAAGAAGGCGGCTGAGCAGAAAGGGCAGATGTCTTTCGAAAGAGAATGACTACCGCTGCACGATGAATGTGGTAGGCCTTTTCAGCTGGGCTTCGATATTCAGAATCGCTTCATTATCGAAATGTGTGGCCTCGGGTGTTGTGGAGCGTACACACTTTTTCGAGTTTTAACGACATTTGTTGGGGTTTCACCGTGAGTCTCTGCCGTTGATCTCCCTACACTTGAGTGAATTCATATCTATAATGATTGACATGTCTCTAGTGGCTTACTCGATAACGCTCCAAAAGAGGTGGAGCACGACCTTGTGGTGAATTTCTTCACTTTTCACCCTCTTCTGTCCGATCTAGTCCCTGGAGATTCTAGGTGTGGTTGTCATGGAACCTGAGCTTCTCAACTGCAGTAGTAGCTTTGTTCAACCAGGGCGTACGGATGGAGCTGGACACAAATTGTAGACGGGACTCGTGCCGCACTCCTGTCATCAGTGATCAACTCATGAGGGAATCTTTGGTGAGGCTTCAACCATTCTACGAAGGAGCGAGAACCTCTACGCATTGTGCATCTGGAACACAGGATGTGGTTGCCACAAAGCAGGTAGCCCCGTGTGGAGTGACTCCCACGAGAGAGCACAGATTCTCCAAATCCGACACTGATGGCCTCTCTGAACGTGGATTTTTCTACCGGCTGTAGTCTCCTGGCAGAGAAGATCCAGCTATTCTGATACCTCACTGTTGGTGAGGGCGAGGAGATGTATCGCGATGCAGATGCCGCTTCAGGCTTCAATCGGTTTGTGGCTCAGTAGAGCTGCTTAAGTCAGAGCGCGAAAAACATAGCTCTTTTCTCTTTCCACTTTGAACTCGAAGAAGGCGACGATGGTGGGCAGGATTCGGGTATAAGCTACTGCACAGTGTGCCCTATCCACAGCCTACGTGAACACATTTTGAATTTGTTGAAGGAGCTTGTGGCATGAGATCCAAAAAATACGCACGAACTTTCGAGACAACCTAATAATTCGTATATACATTGATACGAAGTTACATGATTGAAATTCGGCCCACTTTTCCCCGACCTACAGCCTTGGAGGGTGGAGAAAGATAATATGTATACGAACGATTAAACCAATATGTATATCAACGGGAAACACAAATCCTGTCTAGTCTTGGACTACTTGATCTTTCCTTTTCGATTTCCATCAAAAATTCAGAAAATCCGTTGTAACAACAACCCCCTCCACCATCAACAGACCCATTAATTTCTAAAAACTCCTCTCATTCTCGATCTTTCTGGCTTCGCATTCGCCCAAATTTCCGATCCGTCGTGGTACTTGTAAGGGAACGGCTTGAACCGCTAGCGCTTCAGGACCTCTTTAAATGTCTGAGGTATAAACGTAACAGCGCTACGACACACTGTGGACCAAGAATAAAAATTCGGAACGGAGGTGGGTTCGCAGGCGAGGAAAGCTTCTTAGGCTTTTCTCTTTCAAACCGCGAAGTAAGAGAGCACAGCTACGATCTTTCTTGATGGCTCTACCAACCCAACAAAGAGATTACTTCTTCTGAACTCACCGTGAGATGCGCCCTCAAAGGCGGAGAGCCTACCAGAAATCAAGGTATAGGTGGTCAGAGGTGCAGTAATGAGGAAAAGAAAACATGAGAAATGGCCAAAAACCCGAAAAACGGGGTCTTTTCTTTTTCCTTGATTTTCGCATTCATGCAACTCATCGGTGCTCTCCTCACCAACGCTAAACGCTCCCTCTTCTAGACCGGCTATAGTCAGACGGCGAGGGGTGGGCGGGCAGCGGCGCGAGCGGCACGAGTATGACTCTGATAGGCAGCTGGCGGTATATCTCTCGCTGCGAAACCCGCATCGTCCCGCACCTTCAGGGGAGCTTCCTGCTTTCCCACTAGGTATACATATTTCCATTTCTTCGACCTCTAACTATCATGGAACCCTCCAAAAGTTGGAGTTTTTTTCAAATGACAATTTTTTAGGAGAGTTGAATACGATTTGCCTTAGGTAATAGACAACAAATTTCTACGAAATATGCATCATACTCACTAGTTCCACAGCAGCAAGAAGTGAATCCAGCAGCCAATAAACCCCTGCAAATAAGAGTTTCAGACGGGCTATGTTGGCATCGATGACAAAAGTTGAGAGAATCGTATGGATCCAAACATACACCACGGCGAATATCACCAGTAACATATTGGAATAGACTTGAACATATGGTATTTTATATTTCTGAAAAAAATTGTAGAGTTTTGCAAAATTCTTTCAATCGCAAGTTCCCTTCTGTAACGACGCTGTGGCAATTTGTAATTCTTTTCGATTGATCTTTTCAACATACTAAAATGGTGTATAAGTCCCACGTCACATAACAAGGCTTCATTTAATTTTTATCCCTCTATAACTCATAATGTCATTGTGTCGCAGTTACCTATGCGACATGGGTGGTACATAGTAAAGATTATTAGATTTCACAAAGTATCTGTGAATTAAGAAATTATGAAAATTAAGAAAGAGGCGCATGCGTTGCAACAAATCCATAACATCATTCTGATCACTTTTCTCATTTGCTACACGAGGCGTGTCTGCGCCCTCTCTTATGACGTTCTTTCTCGCATGTCCTCTCTCCCCCTCGCGCTGTGTCTCTCCATCGTTTCACGGTCGACGTCACAAGAAAAGGAGGGCCCCAGATTTCAGTCCTTTCTATGGCCCCTTCTGTTTGTCCTCTCGCCGACGTTCCTCTTCGCACCTCTTTCATTTTCGAGCGGAAACACCACTTTCAGATCACGACCCCTGTCCAATAATATAAAGGAAACCATAAAATAGTCTTTGAAGAACCCACAAAAATATCAGTTAGGAATTCGAAGATCGCTCTTAAAGGCAAAGATTACTTTAAAGAGGGAGCGCACTGAGGAAGCATATGCCCCACACGAATCAGTTTCTTGGCTGTCAGGGAAGCGAGGTGTAGCGCTTTCACGATGAAAGGCTGCGCTGGTCGCTGAGCAGGACTTCTTGAAAGCACTCCGCCCCCCAGTTTGGTTGAGCAAGCGCTCCGCTCACCAGTTTGGTTTGAGCGTGGCTTGGACGCTGCGTTGCCAGCAGCGGCACAACTGGAGCAACTCGACTGGAGCATGGATTGGCATGCTGTCACCAAACGCGTTGCGCTGAACTCGTTCATACGTTCCCTCTTCTGAGCTGTTACCAGTTCACGAGTGGAAACCAACGGCCAAAAAGAGGGTCCCGTTTTGCGCTTTTCTTGACGGATTTCTCCGCTTTTTTCGCCACTGGTGTACCATCTTGATCACCACCAGCTCCTCTCCTTTAACCATTCTTGAACCTATCGTAATCGCTGCCTTCAAAGTAGAAAGACTTACCGGAAAATTGACACTCATTTGGAGACATGCTACTGCCATCAGTCCAATGCATGTGCTCACGAAGCTGACTTTCCGTTGCCATGAATTCTGATGATCAGGTGAGAAATATGAGACAAATTCACGATGTTTCAGATATAACCATAGAGCAGCTGAAAATCGTGAGCATAAAAACATTTTCAGATGCTTTTTTCAATCATTATGGAATACCAATGTACGAGCTATGTGGTTGGTCATCATTGCGTAGACGGCGCTTGATGGAGGACTTGTGGCGATTTCACTAAATGACAGAATCTTCGTCGGGCTAACTTCGGGTCCCATCTCCACATTGGTATGCACTCTCATGTATAATATTTGCATCGATAAACGTGCACAACCGTACTCGCTCAAAGACATGGGTCAGGAGTTGAGTTGGGGTATTTTTGCGCTCGAAAGTGAGTGCAGAAATGCGAATAACGCCAACTGTTTAGGAAAAACGGGAGAAATCGCAAACAAGGCCAGAAATATAACGCCGTTACCCAACGGCAGTGAATAGGTGCGTGTTCGGACGAGTTTTCCTGGCATTACAGCCATTCCTGTCACCGTGAAAGCACTTGATGCGGTTACCAACCCAGCTGATTTCATGCTCTAGCACCAGCATACCAGTGAATACTAGCTTCGAAGGAGTCCTTCCCGGATAAAATCACGATAATATCTCATCCATAAATCACTTTCTTGAGACTCATTGTTCGCTATAAGAACGAATAGAACAAAAAACATGTGCAAAACAATTACCTATTTTAAGGCACGGGTCAGGATCGAGATGAGGTATTTTTCGCTCGAAAGTGAGTGCAGAAGTGCGAAATAAACGCTTGTTTCGGTAAACACTTCAAAAAGTCGGAAGTACTGCTCAAACTTCGCAGGACATCTGTCACAATGCTGGCGGCTGGAACGCTTCCACTTCGTTCACGGAGTGCTGTCACTAGAAACTTTTTTTTTTACCTTTTGACTATTGCACTGACATCTCACCCTTCTACTGCATCCTATTTTATCGATCCTTTTGTCTCCATTTTTCGAAATGGGACGCTTTAACCTGATTCTTTCAATGCGTCAATGCGATACCCATTGGTAGCCGTCTCAAGGGCGCACTCTTTACTTGCCGCGCCTTTATCGCCCCGCGACCTACCTTTCGACCGTCCAAAGAGTGTGGTTCTCGTAGATTCGTTTCTCTTCGGAGACTGATTCTTTGTGCGTGAAACTTCGTGTGTTATCTCTGATGATCACAACTGACATATTAATGTTGGAAGAAATGCAAGAATTTTCTGGGAAGGATCCCTCTAATACCACGTGGTTTCGAGTCACGAGCGTGGCATCACCTCTCTGCTTACAGATCCAGCACAATTTTGATAGAGGGGGTCTTTGACCGCCTAATTCCGACCCGAACCTCTAAATATGCGTACACTCCCCTTCAAAAAGCCAGAAAGTGTGAGGTGCAGACCAACACCACAACTGACGACGGCCTCCAAGTAAATCTGGTTAGTAGTGGTTCATAGTGATAGCTGATTTTTAGTAAATGATAGTTGTAATTAGTGTCAACTGATCGAATACAACTGTAACAGGTTAATCATTTCATTGGCAAAAAACATTTGCATTTTCTGGAGGCCGTCGTCACTTGTGGTGTATGGTCTGCACCCGACACTTTCTGGCTTTTTGAAGGGGAGGTTACGTGCGGCCTGCATGGGAACGTTGAAGATGCGAAGCAGTTTACGCCATGAAGTTGAAAAAAATCAAAATTTCACGCATTCGTCCAGATCCCGATCTACCTAATTCTTTATAAAAAGCATCTTCATTCTCTTCAAGAAGTTTGTGTACGGACGGTGACCGTAGCATAGCTGGAAAATTTCATCAACGGCAGGGCGCATACTGGTGTGAGAAACCTTTTCGTTTTGTGCCTGCATATGTTTATGCATATGAATTACCTTAGAGGGGCAGTCTTGGCGGAAGCTGATTGTAGGAGGCTGATAAGGCAAAACTGGAAAAAAAATTCAATTTTGAAGTGTTCTCGTAGAATAGCCCACCCTTTCTGACTCACCATATCATCACACAAAGAATGCTGTACATTGCCGTAACAACAGGACATAACCATACGAAATCGAGCGCCATCGGACTGGGGAATATTCAGCACTCAGAAACTCTCTGAAAAATTGCAATAAAATTCTCGTTCCTCTTGCCATTATAATAATTTTGGGGCAAGGAAGGCGTTCCCGATTCTTCGCACGTAAAATAGCAGATTCACCTATATATATTGGCATGGACAGATAACAAATACCATTGGGTTTTAATGAGTACAAAAAAACAGGTTTTATTGCGCAACGAAAAATCAATAAGCCTTGTACCTAATAAATTTTGTTATCGGAAAATGATAAAGGTGCTGTGAACAGTCGCTGCGACCCCGTTGATGTCCTGATAAGGGCTAGGAGTAAAAGTTCACACGGTAAATGAGTAGTGGTAAAGGGTGGAGATGAGGTGTCTTGCCCTTCCGCGTCCAAATCTATTGTGAACGGTTTTTGGCGGATTCTCTGGGCCTATACAGGAAGGCCAACTGTTGACTAAACGCGAGTTTTATTCCGCAACCCTGTCAGGGGTGATAACCCACAAGAGAGCGATGGCTGCTATCTTCTGTGAAGCTCTCCACGAGGTTGTTAAGTAGACTTTATTGGCTTACGTTTCGGCGGGGTCGCCTTCTTCAGAGCCTGAAAGGATCGAAGCAATTTATGACTACCCGACCAAACGCCTCCACTATCCTACTGAAATTCGAGAACAAAACAGGTCATCACGCAATACCAAGGTGGGCCACTTACCGTAACTTACCATTAGTCCGGTACTCGAGACCACCCGGAACTAGTAGTGGGACACACAGCAATCCGGACTAGACTTGACTTAGAGTTACTGGTGGAAGGCCATCCTTAGGCCTCAGCTTCCGCGTAATGGTAAGGCATTCTTCCCTCCGGAATTTCAGTAGGATAGTGGAGGCGTT